TATATTTGAAATTCTTCAAAAAGCCACCCTTTGCCTTGATGACAGCTTTGCACATTCTTGGCATTCTCTCAAACAGCTTCATGAGGTAGTCATCTGGAATGCATTTCAATTAACAGGTGTGCCTTCTTAAAAGTTAATTTGTGGAATTTCTTTCCTTCTTAATGCGTTTGAGCCAATCAATTGTGTTGTGACAAGGTAGGGGGGTATACAGAAGATAGTCCTATTTGGTAAAAGACCAAGTCCATATAATGGCAAGAACAGCTCAAATAAGCAAAGAGAAACGACAGTCCATTATTACTTTAAGACATGAATGTCAGTCAATACGAAACATTTCAAGAACTTTGAACGTTTCTTGAAGTGCAGTCGCAAAAACCATCAAGAAACTGGCTCTCATGAGGACCGCCACAGGAATGGAAGACCCAGAGTTACCTCTGCTGCAGAGGATAAGTTCATTAGAGTTACCAGCCTCAGAAATTGCAGCCCAAATAAATGCTTCACAGAGTTCAAGTAACAGACACATCTCAACATCAACTGTTCAGAGGGGACTGTGTGAATCAGGCGTTCATGGTCGAATTGCTGCAAAGAAACCACTACTAAAAGACACATATAAGAAGAAGAGACCTGCTTGGGCCAAGAAACACGAGCAATGGACATTATACCGGTGGAAATGTGTCCTTTGTCTGGAGTCCAAATTGGAGAGTTTTGGTTCCAACCGCCGTGACTTTGTGAGATGCGGTGTGGGTGAACGGATGATCTCTGCATGTGTAGTTCCCACCATAAAGCACGGAGGAGGAGGTGTTATGGTGTGGGGGTGCTTTGCTGGTGACACGGTCTGTGATTTATTTAGAATTCAAGGCACACTTAACCAGCATGGCTACCACAGCATTCTGCAGCGATACGCCATCCCATCTGGTTTGGGCTTAGTGGGACTATCATTTGTTTTTCAACAGGACAATGACCCAACACACCTCCAGGCTGTGTAAGGGCTATTTGACCAAGAAGGAGAGTGATGGAGTGCTGCATCAGATGACCTGGCCTCCACAATCCCCCGAACTCAACCCAATTGAGATGGTTTGGGATGAGTTGGACGGCAGAGTGAAGGAAAAGCAGCCAACAAGGGCTCACCATATGTGGGAACTCCTTCAAGACTGTAGGAAAAGCATTCCAGGTGAAGCTGGTTGAGAGAATGCCAAGAGTGGGCAAAGCTGACATCAAGGCAAAGGGTGGCTATTTGAAGAATCTGAAATATAAAATATATTTTGATTTGTTTAACACTTTTTTGGTTACTACATGATTCCATATGTGTTATTTCGTAGTTTTGATATCTTCACTATTATTCTACAATGTAGAAAATAGTAAAAATAAAGAAAAACCCTTGAATCAGTAGGTGTGTCCAAACTTTTGACTGGTACTGTATACAATTTCAATTCAATTTCAATTTCAATTCAATTTCAATTTAAGGGCTTTATTGGCATGGGAAACGTGTGTTAACATTGCCAAAGCAAGTGAAGTAGATAGTAAACAAAAGTGAAATAAACAATAAATATTAACAGTAAACATTACACTCAGAAGTTTCAAAAGAATAAAGACATTTCAAATGTCATATAATGTATATATACAGTGTTGTAACAATGTGCAAATAGTTAAAGTACAAATGGGAAAATAAATAAACATAAATATGGGTTGTATTTACAATGGTGTTTGTTCTTCACTGTTTGCCCTTTTCTTGTGGCAACAGGTCACAAATCTTGCAGCTGTGATGGCACACTGTGGTTTTTCACCCAGTAGATAAGGGAGTTTATCAAAATTGGGTTTGTTTTCGAATTCTTTGTGGATCGCTGTAATCTGAGGGAAATATGTGTCTCTAATATGGTCATACATTTGGCAGGAGGTTAGGAAGTGCAGCTCAGTTTCCACCTCATTTTGTGGGCAGTGTGCACATAGCCTGTCTTCTCTTGAGAGCCAGGTCTGCCTACGGCGGCCTATCTCAATAGCAAGGCTATGCTCACTGAGTCTGTACATAGTCAAAGCTTTCCTTAAGTTTGGGTCAGTCACAGTGGTCAGGTATTCTGCCACTGTGTACTCTCTGTTTAGGGCCAAATAGCATTCTAGTTTGCTCTGTTTTTTTGTTTGTTCTTTCCAATGTGTCAAGTAATTATCTTTTTGTTTTCTCATGATTTGGTTGGGTCTAGTTGTGTTGTTGTTGTTGTTGTCCTGGGGCTGTGTGGGGTCTGTTTGTGTTTGTGAACAGAGCCCCAGGACAAGCTTACTTAGGGGACTCTTCTCCAAGTTCATCTCTCTGTAGGTGATGGCTTTGTTATGGAAGGTTTGGGAATCGCTTCCTTTTAAGTGGTTATAGAATTTAACGGCTCTTTTCTGGATTTTGATAATTAGCGTGTATTGTCCTAATTCTGCTCTGCATGCATTATTTGGTGTTTTACGTTGTACACGGAGGATGTTTTTGCAGAATTCTGCATGCAGAGTCTCAATTTGGTGTTTGTCCCATTTTGTGAATTCTTGGTTGGTGAGCGGACCCCAGACCTCAGAACCATAAAGGGCAATGGGTTCTATAACTGATTCAAGTATTTTTAGCCAGATCCTAATTGGTATGTCAAATTTTATGTTCCTTTTGATGGCATAGAAGGCCCTTCTTGCCTTGTCTCTCAGATCGTTCACAGCTTTGTGGAAGTTACCTGTGGCGCTGATGTTTAGGCCGAGGTATGTATAGTTTTTTGTGTGCTCTAGGGCAACGGTGTCTAGATGGAATTTGTATTCGTGGCTCTGGCAACTGGACCTTTTTTGGAACACCATTATTTTTGTCTTACTGAGATTTACTGTCAGGGCCCAGGTCTGACAGAATCTGTGCAGAAGATCTAGGTGCTGCTGTAGGCCCTCCTTGGTTGGTGACAGAAGCACCAGATCATCAGCAAACAGAAGACATTTGACTTCAGATTCTAGTAGGGTGAGGCCGGGTGCTGCAGACTGTTCTAGTGCCCTCGCCAAATCGTTGATATATATGTTGAAGAGGGTGGGGCTTAAACTGCATCCCTGTCTCACCCCACGGCCCTGTGGAAAGAAATGTGTGTGTTTTTTGCCAATTTTAACCGCACACTTGTTGTTTGTGTACATGGATTTTATAATGTCGTATGTTTTTCCCCCAACCCCACTTTCCATCAATTTGTATAGCAGACCCTCATGCCAAATTGAGTCAAAAGCTTTTTTGAAATCAACAAAGCATGAGAAGACTTTGCCTTTGTTTTGGTTTGTTTGTTTGTCAATTAGGGTGTGCAGGGTGAATACGTGGTCTGTCGTACGGTAATTTGGTAAAAAGCCAATTTGACATTTGCTCAGTACATTGTTTTCACTGAGGAAATGAACTAGTCTGCTGTTAATGATAATGCAGAGGATTTTCCCAAGGTTGCTGTTGACGCATATCCCACGGTAGTTATTGGGGTCAAATTTGTCTCCACTTTTGTGGATTGGGGTGATCAGTCCTTGGTTCCAAATATTGGGGAAGATGCCAGAGCTAAGGATGATGTTAAAGAGTTTAAGTATAGCTAATTTAAATTTGTGGTCTGTATATTTTATAATTTCATTGAGGATACCATCAACACCACAGGACTTTTTGGGTTGGAGGGTTTGTATATTGTCCTGTAGTTCATTCAATGTAATTGGAAAATCCAGTGGGTTCTGGTAGTCTTTAATAGTTGTTTCTAAGATTTGCATTTGATCATGTATATTTTTTTGCTGTTTGTTCTCTGTTATAGGGCCAAAAAGATTGGAGAAGTGGTTTACCCATACATCTCCGTTTTGGATAGATAGCTCTTCGTGTTGTTGTTTGTTTAGTGTTTTCCAATTTTCCCAGAAGTGGTTAGAGTCTATGGATTCTTCAATTACATTGAGCTGATTTCTGACATGCTGTTCCTTCTTTTTCCGTAGTGTATTTCTGTATTGTTTTAGTGATTCACCATAGTGAAGGCGTAGGCTCAGGTTTTCTGGGTCTCTATGTTTTTGGTTGGATAGGTTTCTCAATTTCTTTCTTAGGTTTTTGCATTCTTCATCAAACCATTTATCACTGTTATTACTTTTCTTTGGTTTTCTGTTAGAGATTTTTTGATTTGATAGGGAAGCTGAGAGGTCAAATATACTGTTTAGGTTTTCTACTGCCAAGTTTACACCTTCACTATTACAGTGGAACGTTTTGACCAGGAAGTTGTCTAGAATGGATTGAATTTGTTGTTTCCTAATTGTTCTTTGGTAGGTTTCAACACTACTTTCCTTCCATCTATAGCATTTCTTAATATTATTCAGTTATTTTGGCTTTGATGCCTCATGATTGAGTATTGCTCTGTTCAAGTAGACTGTGATTTTGCTGTGGTCTGATAGGGGTGTCAGTGGGCTGACTGTGAACGCTCTGAGAGACTCTGGGTTGAGGTCAGTGATAAAGTAGTCTACATTACTACTGCCAAGAGATGAGCTATAGGTGTACCTACCATAGGAGTCCCCTCGAAGCCTACCATTGACTATGTACATACCCAGTGTGCGACAGAGCTGCAGGAGTCCGTGACCCGTTTTTGTTGGTTATGTTGTCGTAGTTGTGCCAATAGGGGGGCATATGGGGGAGGGAATGCTGTCACCTTCCAGGTAGGTGTTTGTCCCCACTGTGGGCTGAGGGTTGTCAGGTTTGCTTGGGTCCAAGTTCTGAGCCTCTATCTCTATCTCTCTCCTCTCCCTTTAATTTCAATTCTCTTCACTATTCTCGTCCTCTCTACTCTCTCTCTCTCTCTCTTGCGTCTCGCTCCGATGGGCTCGCTATCGCTCTCGCTATAGCTATCCTCGGATCTCGCTCTCTCTCTTAATATTCGCTCGTCTATCTTCTCTCGAGCTCTAGCGCTTATGCTAGATCTCGCTCTCTCTCTATCTCCTCTATCTCCCTCTCTCTATCATCTGCTCGTCTCTATTACTCCCTATTCCCTATGCTCCCTCTCCTTTCCTAATAGCGGACTCTGAACCCAATATCAAGTTTCTCAGGTACAGGACGACAATGAAGCGGCGGCGGGTGCAGAAGGCTCTGAGATGTACGTATTCGTGTTTGTCATCATGCGGATAATATTAAAGTTAATTAATTGGCCAATTGAGTTACCATGGAGGGGGATGTAAAGCCAAAGGTCATGTGGATGGTGAGGCATCTCAACATGGTCAACTCCAGGACCAGTAGTAGCTTTATCGTCCACAGGTCCAGCACGTCTCCTCTCTCATCTCCTCCTCATCCTCCCTTCCCAACTGACTAGGGCTACCCTGACCAGGAGTTAGCCTGCGGACACGTTTGCACAGGCGGCTGCTCACATCCTTTTCATGCGCTCTCCCATTCACGCTCTCGCTTTCTCTCCGTTCAAAATCCTCCCCCCCCTCTCGTCCACTCCGAACGGGGAAAATGGCCTGCGGAAAGACACAGCATTGAACGCATGCTGAAAAAGATAGACTTCCTCCCTCTCTCTCTCTTCTCTCCTCTCTCTCTCTATCTCTTTATAACTTCTCTATTTTTTCCCTCTTGCACTCCTATTCGGGTGCTGGTTGCTAGTCGGATGGCATTAGGATAGTATTGCCAGGCTGACCTTAGTAACTACCAAAAAAAAAGTATTCTATATCTCTCTCCTACTCTCTTCTCTCTCATCTCTCTCTTACTCATCTATCCTCTATCTCTCTCGATCTCCTCTCCTCTACTCTCTCTCTCTCTCTCTCTTTCTCTTTCTCTTTCTCTCTCTTCGCTCTTTCAGGGTTGGGAGAGGCGAGGAGATGTATCTCCTCGTATCCAGCCTCTCTATCAGTATGGATTGGGAGGCTCTACAAAAGCACTTCTAAAAATGACTTAGAGAAGTGTCTCCTCCTCTGAAAACTAACCCACTCCAGCCCACGTGTCCTCTACACTCCACCCTAAACCACGCAGCCGTATGTTATATACCCCTCCAAACCCTAACCATTCAAGAAATGGTCTCTCCCCTCCCAACACTAAACCCTCCAGCAAGGTTTTTCCCCTCCAAACCTAACCCAGCGCCAATGTTCCTCTCCCCTCCACAACTAAACCCCTCCGCCCTGTCATCTCCCTCTCCAAACCTAACCCACTCAAGCCATGTACCCTACCCTCCAACGCTAACCCAATCCACCCATGTCTATCCCCTCCCAACCCCTAACCCCACTCCAGCATGTTCTCCCTCCCAACCCCTAATACCACTCCCAGCCATTGTCGTCTCCGCTCCCAACCTAACCCACTCAGACATTCCTCTACATCCTCCCCAAAGCTAACCCACTACGAAAGGGCCCTGTCCTCCCATCCAACCCTAACCCAATCCAGCCAGTCTCTCCCTCAAAAACCTAACCCATACAAGCACATGGTCCTCTCCACCCGCAACACTAACCCAGCCAGCCATGTACTTCCACTACCCCAACCCTAACCACTCCAGCCAGTTTCTCCCTCCAAAACCTAACCCACTCCAGCATGTCCTCTCCCCTCCCAACCCTAACCCACTCCAGCACATTTGTCCTCCCCCTCCCAACCCTAACCCACTCCAGCTGCTCTACCCCCAACCCTAACCCCTCAAGCCATGTCTCCCCTCCCAAACATAACCATCCAGCCATGTCTATCCCCTCCAACCCTAAACCCACTACAGCATGTCTCCCCCTCCAACCTACCCACTCCAGCCATGTCCTCTCCCCTCCCCCTGAACGCCTAAACCCCTCCAGCCATGTACTATCCCCTCCCAACCCTAACCCACCAGCCAATGTCCTCTCCACATGCCCCACCCTAACAGCAGCCAGTCCTCTCCCCCCCAACGACTAACCCACGCCAGCCATCGTCTCTCCCCTCCCAACCCTAAACCCACTCCAGCAAGGTCCTCCCGTCCCCCCATCTCCTAACCCTAACCCACTGCCAGCATGGGGTCCTCTCCCCCTCCAACCCTAAACCACTCCAGCCATTGTCCTATCACCTCCAACCGAACCCACTCCAGCCAGTCCTCCACTCCAACCCTAACCGAACTCAGCCAGTCCTCTCCCTTACCAACGCTTAACCACCCTCTCAGCCATTGTCCTCTCCCCTCCAACGCTCAACCACTCCAGCCATGTCCTCTCCCCTCCCAACCCTAACCCACTCCAGCCATGTCCTCTCCCCTCCCAACCCTAACCCGCTCCAGCCATGTCCTATCCCCTTCCCAACCCTAAACCCACTCCAGGCCATGTCCCTTCCCCTCCCACCCTGAAACGCCACTCAGCCATTTGTCCTCTCCCATCCCAACCCGAACCCACTCCAGCCATGGCCTCTCCCCTCCCAACCATACACCACTCCAGCCATGTCACTCGCCCCCTCGCAAACCCTAACCACCAGCCAAATTAGTCCTGCTCCCCTCCAAACCACTAACCGAACTCCAGCCATGTCCTCCCCCTCCCAACCCTAACCCACTCAAGCCATGTCCTCTCCCCTTCCAACCCTAAAAACACTCAGCCATGTCCTCTCCCATTCCCAACCCTAACCCACTCCAGCATTCTCCGTGCTTGCACTCATTAGCTCCGGCGATCCATCAAATCTGTCATTAGAGGACACCCTTTTATGTTCAGTTCTCTGCCCAGCCTGGGATGGCCATTCAAATTAGTTTGGGTTGGCGCCTTCGCAACATCTGTCAGCGCTTAAGTGGGGGGAAAAGGTGAATAAGCATTCTCTCCTTCACTCTCCTGTCCCTGGTGGTTTGTGTGTGTGTGTGTTTGTGTGTGTGTCTGTGTGTGTGTGTGTGTGTGTGTGTGTGTGTGTGTGTGTGTGTGTGTGTGCGTCCATCCAGTGGACCTGCTGAGGCTGGTGAGTGTGGTGGACGTGTTCAGGGAGCAGGATCTGCAGCATGGGGAACATGTGATGGATGTGGTGGAGATGATCCATGCCCTGACCGGCCTGTACGAGAGACTGGAGGAGGAGAGGAGGGCCATCGTGGTCAACATCCCTCTCTGTGTGGACATGTGTCTCAACTGGCTGCTCAACGTCTACGACAGGTACTACTGACCACTACTGACCTTTAACCTTGGCCCCTGACCCTTTGACCCTAAACCTTACATGACCTCAACGAGACTAGGTCATGTGTTGCAACTGGCTGCTCAACGTCTACAACAGGTACTACTGACCACTGACCTTAAACCTTGCCCCCTTGCCCCCTTGCCCCCTGACCCTAAACCATACATGACCTCAACAAGACCAGATCATGTTTTTTAACTGGCTGCTCAATGTGTCAATGTCTCTTGGACATCACTGAGGACACATAGCAACACATTACCTCACCTCATATTATCTTTGAGGGGTTGGAAATGTGGGTTTAGACATAAAGTTTAATCCTCACCTAATTAGTGACTGTTCATGCCACTTGTGTTGTTAGCTACTTGTAAGTGCCACTCTAAAATACTATGTTCTAATGAACCAAATAACTCTGTTTTTGTCAGTTCTATTTCATATACAGCACTATTATATCTGGGACACTGCCATTGACATTACTGCCAATATACAGTACCAGTCAAAAGTTTGGACACACCTACTCATTCAAGGGTTCTTCTTTATTTTTAAAATGTTCTACATTGTAGAATAATAGTGAAGACATCAAAACAATGAAGTAACACATATGGAATCATGTAGTAACCCAAAAAGTGTTAAACAAATCAATTTATACAGTTGAAGTCGGACGTTCACATACACCTTAGCCAAATACAATTAAACTCAATTTTTCACAATTCCTGACATTTAATCCTAGTAAAAATTCTCTATCTTAGGTCAGTTAGGATCACCACTTTATTTTAAGAATGTGAAATGTCAGAATAATAGTAGAGAGAATGATTTATTTCAGCTTTTATTTATTTCATCACATTCCCAGTGGGTCAGAAGTTTACATACACTCAATTAGTATTTGGTAACATTGCCTTTAAATTGTTTAACTTGGGTCAAACGTTTCGGGTAGCCTTCCACAAGCTTCCCACAATAAGTTGGGTGAATTTTGGCCCATTCCTCCTGACAGAGCTGGTGTAACTGAGTCAGGTTTGTAGGCCTCCTTGCTCGTACACATTTTTCAGTTCTGCCCACATATTTTCTATAGGATTGAGGTCAAGGCTTTGTGATGGCCACTCCAATAACTTGACTTGTTGTCCTTAAGCCATTTTGCCACAACTTTGGAAGTTTGCTTGGGGTCATTGTCCATTTGGAAGACCCATTTGCGACCAAGCTTTAACTTCCTGACTAATGTCTTGAGATGTTGCTTCAATATATCCACATCATTTTCCTTAATCATGATTCCATCTATTTTGTGAAGTGCACCAGTCCCTCCTGCAGCAAAGCACCCCCACAGCATGATGCTGCCACCCCCGTGCTTCACTGTTGGGATGTTGTTCTTCGGCTTGCAAGCCACCCCCAGTTTCCTCCAAACATAACGATGGTCATTATGGCCAAACAGTTCTATTTTTGTTTCATCAGACCAGAGGACATTTCTCCAAAAAGTACGATCTTTGTCCCCATATGCAGTTGCAAAACGTAGTCTGGCTTTTTTATGGCAGTTTTGGAGCAGTGGCTTCTTCCTTGCTGAGCGGCCTTTCAGGTTATGTCGATATAGGACTCGTTTTACTGTGGATATATATACTTTTGTACCTGTTTCCTCCAGCATCTATACAAGGTCCTTTGCTGTTGTTCTGGGGTTGATTTGCACTTTTCGAACCAAAGTACGTTCATCTCTAGGAGACAGAATGCGTCTCCTTCCTGAGCGGTATGACGGCTGTGTGGTCCCATGGCGTTTATACTTGGCTAGGCCTTGAAATACATCTACAGGTACACCTCCAATTGACTGAAATTATGTCAATTAGCCTATCAGAAGCTTCTAAAGCCATGACATAATTTTCTGGACTTTTCCAAGCTGTTTAAAGGCAACCTAAGTGTATGTAAACTTCCGACTTCAACTGTATTTTATATTTGAGATTCTTCAAATAGTCACCCTTTGCCTTTATGACAGCTTTGCACACTCTTGGCATTCTCTCAACCAGCTTTTCCAACAGTCTTGAAGGAGTTCCCACATATGGTGAGCCACTGTTGGCTGCTTTTCCTTCACTCTGCCGTCCGATTCATCCCAAACCATCTCAATTGGGTTGAGGTCGGGGGATTGTGGAGGCCAGGTCATCTGATGCAGCACTCCATCACTCTGCTTATTGGTCAAATAGCCCTTACACAGCCTGGAGGTGTGTTGGGTCATTGTCCTGTAGAAAAACTGAGCCCAAACCAGATGGGATGGCGTATCACTGCAGAATGCTGTGGTAGCCATGCTGGTTAAGTGTGCCTTGAATTCTAAATAAATCACAGACAGTGTCACCAGCAAAGCACCCCCCACACCATAACACCTCCTCCCCCATGCTTTACGGTGGGAACTACACATGCGGAGATCATCCGTTCACCCACACCGCATCTCACAAAGACACGGTGGTTGGAACCACAAAGGACACATTTCCACCTGTCTAATGTCCATTGCTTGTGTTTCTTGGCCCAAGCAGGTATATTCTTCTTATCGGTGTCCTTTAGTAGTGGTTTCTTTGCAGCAATTCAACCATGAAGGCCTGATTCACACAGTCCCCTCTGAACAGTTGTTGTTGAGATGTGTCTGTTACTTGAACTCTGTGAGGATTTATTTGGGCTGCAATTTCTGAGGCTGGTAACTGTAATGAACTTACCCTTTGCAGCAGAGGTAACTCTGGGGCTTCCATTCCTGTGGCGGTCCTCATGAGAACCAGTTTCATCATAGCGCTTGATGATTTTTGTGACTGCACTTGAAGAAACTTTCAAAGTTCTTGAAATGTTCCGTATTGACTGACCTTCATGTCTTAAAGTAATGATGGACTGTTGTTTATTTTTGCTTATTTGAGTTGTTCTTGCCATAATATGGACTTGGTCTTTTACCAAATAGGGCTATCTTCTTTATACCTTGTCACAACACAACTGATTGGCATTTAGAAGGAAAGAAATTCCACAAATTAACACCTTTTTGGTTACTACATGATTCCATATGTGTTATTTTATAGTTTTGATGTCTTCACTATTATTCTACAATGTAAAAAATAGCACAAATAAAGAAAAACCCTTGAATGAGTAGGTGTGTCCAAACTTTTGACTGGTACTGTATATGTAACCTCTCACATATCCTTGTCCAAATTCACCCTGTCTCCACCTCGCAAGTATAAAACCCTTTTCCCACAATCAAGGACCATCACGCTCTGCTACTCCAGTGCTCTGATTGGTCGAGAGTCCTCTCAGCGGGGCGTCTCATTGGTGAAGTAGGCTGTGTGGCTGGGAGGCTGTGTCGTGAGTAAGATCACAAAGAGGCTATAGCTCAGTCAAGCTGGCTGACGTCCAATCAGGGCAACTGAGACCCAGTAGAAAGCATAAACAGTTTGATTCTGACTGCCTGTCTCTCTCTGCCAACTGCCAAGCCCTCCACAGAATCCAAGAGGCTCAATTTCCGGCGAACATGAAAGAAATAGAGAAAAAAGAAACAGCCCCATTGTTTTCTTAACGCCATACATTTATTTTGTGGCCCTTAGCTACCTGCTGCTAATGAGTGGAAATCAGCATTTTTATCCTCCACATACATTTCCTGTAATTGCTTTTTTATTTTCCGATAAATGCCGGATGTGAATGTAAATGAGCTGAGCGTGCAGTGTCAAATCAATTCAAATCGAATTAAATGTTATTTGTCACATGCTCCGAATACAACAGCTGTAGACCTTACCGTGAAATGCTTACTTACAATGAATATTTTTTTTTAAGTAAGTAAGAAAATATTTTCTAAAAAAATATATATATAAAAAAATATAAAAAAAAGTAAGAAAAAAAGTACAACAATAAAATAACAATAAGGAGGCTATATACAGGGGGTACCGGTACCGAGTCAATGTGCAGGGGTACAGGTTAGTCGAGGTAATTGAGGTAATTTGTACATGTAGTTAGAGGTAAATTGACTATGCATAGATAATAAACAGCGAGTAGCAGCAGCGTATAAAAGGGGGTCAATGCAAATGAAGTGTGTGTGTGTGTTTGTTTGTAGTGTGTGTGCAGTGTGAGTGGTATGAGGTCTCCCCACAGACTGCTAGGGAGTGTTTTCTTCTCAGTATTACTAAAGAGACAACGAAAGCAGGTTTCTTCCCCACTCTTTTCTACGGTTATTTTGGAGAGTGGGTTTGTCCGAGCACTTTTGATTCAGGAGAAGTGTGTGTGTGTGCGTTTGTTTGCATGTGCACATGCTTGTGTGTGCGTGTGTGTCTTTAGCTCCTCCGAGGGCATGTCACACTCTTTGGGTGTGTGGGGAGTGACACGTCCCACGGGGTGAGGTGCTGGGGGCGCATATTGAAGATGACACACAGTGTGTGACAGGTGCTGACTCGCTTCCCTCCCCCTGTCTCCCCCTACCTCCCCCTGTCTCCCCCTACCTGCCCTTGTCTCCCCTGTCTCCCCCTACCTCCCCCTGTCTCCCCCTACCTCCCCCTGTCTCCCCCTAACTGCCCCTATCTCCCCCTGTCTCCCCCTACCTCCCCCTGTCTCCCCCTACCTCCCCCTGTCTCCCCCGTCTCCCCCTACCCCCCCTGTCTCCCCAAACCTCCCCCTGTCTCCCCCTACCTCCCCTGTCTCCCTCTGTCTCCCCCATCTCCCCCTACCTCCCCCTGTCTCCCTCTGTCTCCCCCTGTCTCCCCCTACCTCCCCCTGTCTCCCCCAGTCCCCCCTGTCTTCCCCTACCTCCCCCTACCTCCCCCTACCTCCCCCTGTCTCCCCCTACCTCCCCCTGGTCTTCCCCTACCTCCCTCTGTCTCCCCTGTCTCCCCCTGCCTCCCCCTACCTCCCCCTGTCTCTTTCTGCCTCCCCCTAGGTCTCCCCCTGCCTCTCCTAGGTCTCTCCCTGTCTCCCCCTGCCTCTCCTAGGTCTCCTCCTGCCTCTCCTAGGTCTCCCCCTGCCTCTCCTAGGTCTCCCCCTACCTCTCCTAGGTCTCCCCCTGCCTCTCCTAGGTCTCCCCCGCCTCCCACTAGGACTCCTCTAGGTCTCCTTGGCACATTGTAACAGTGACTATAATGACAGGGAATGGCAGTAATGTTCTCTCAGCGACTAATGTTTACCCACTGACTCAAATATTATCATAGAGGATTGCTACAAAGCTCCATCCACCCCGATGACTCCCACTGACTCTAATATGATCTCCTGACTCCTGTGTTAAGGCAGTGACTATATGCCTCTCTGTCTCTCACACTGACATTGACTACTGTCTCTAATGTTCTTTCACTGACTCTAATCCCTTCCATCTGACTATAATGTGTCAAGGCAGAGAAAAGCAAAGCAGCAAAGCTCCCAACTAAAGCCAGTAACAGCAGCCCTGTCCTTCCCCTGCCTCTAGTGGCAGAGCGTCCCTGTGCCTCCCAGACACACAGATATAATGTAACCCATTTAGGTCAGGTCCCGGCTTTCCCAGTCCCAACCCAACTCTGTGGCCTTGCCATTGGCCAGAGAACACTGTTTATTCAGCTGAATGGATCTGTTCCTGCCTTTACTTGTCATCCGATAGTTTTGTCAGTGTAATGGCTTAGTTTATGTATCTGTTTGTTCTGGCATATTGCTCTACTTTTCATGTGCCCCTCAGTGTGAAACCCTAACCATGTCACTATGACTTTTATAGTAATCTATCTACAGTGAGGGAAAAAAGTATTTGATCCCCTGCTGATTTTGTACGTTTGCCCACTGACAAAGACATGATCAGTTTATAATTTTAATGGTAGGTTTATTTGAACAGTGAGAGACAGAATAACAACAAAGACATTCAGAAAAAAGCATGTCAAAAATGTTATAAATTGATTTGCATTTTAATGAGGGAAATAAGTATTTGACCCCTCTGCAAAACATGACTTAGTACTTGGTGGCAAAACCCTTGTTGGCAATCACAGAGGTCAGACGTTTCTTGTAGTTGGCCACCAGGTTTGCACACATCTCAGGAGGGATTTAGTTCCTCTCCTCTTTGCAGATCTTCTCCAAGTCATTAAGGTTTCGAGGCTGACGTTTGGCAACTCAAACCTTCAGCTCCCTCCACAGATTTTCTATGGGATTAAGGTCTGGAGACTGGCTAGGCCACTCCAGGACCTTAATGTGCTTCTTCTTGAGCCACTCCTTTGTTGCCTTGGCCATGTGTTTTGGGTCATATTCATGCTGGAATACCCATCCACAACCCATTTTCAATGCCCTGGCTGAGGAAAGGAGGTTCTCACCCAAGATTTGACGGTACATGGCCCCGTCCATCGTCCCGTTGATGCGGTGAAGTTGTCCTGTCCCCTTAGCAGAAAAACACCCCCAAAGCATAATGTTTCCACCTCCATGTTTGACGGTGGGGATGGTGTTCTTGGGGTCATAGGCAGCATTCCTCCTCCTCCAAACACGGCGAGTTGAGTTGATGCCAAAGAGCTCGATTTTGGTCTCATCTGACCACAACACTTTCACCCAGTTCTCCTCTGAATCATTCCAGATGTTCATTGGCAAACTTCAGATGGGCCTGTATATGTGCTTTCTTGAGCAGGGGGACCTTGCAGGCGCTGCAGGATTTCAGTCCTTCACGGCGTAGTGTGTTACCAATTGTTTTCTTGGTGACTATGGTCCCAGCTGCCTTGAGATCATTGACAAGATCCTCCCGTGTAGTTCTGGGCTGATTCCTCACCGTTCTCATGATCATTGCAACTCCACAAGATGAGATCTTGCATGGAGCCCCAGGCCGAGGGAGATTGACAGTTCTTTGGTGTTTCTTCCATTTGCGAATAATCGCACCAACTGTTGTCACCTTCTCACCAAGCTGCTTGGCGATGGTCTTGTAGCCCATTCCAGCCTTGTGTAGGTCTACAATCTTGTCCCTGACATCCTTGGAGAGCTCTTTGGTCTAGGCCATGGTGGAGAGTTTGGAATCTGATTGATTGATTGCTTCTGTGGACAGGTGTCTTTTATACAGGTAACAAGCTGAGATTAGGAGCACTCCCTTTAAGAGTGTGCTCCTAATTTCAGCTCGTTACCTATATAAAAGACACCTGGGAGCCAGAAATCCTTCTGATTGAGAGGGGGTCAAATACTTATTTCCCTCATGAAAATGCAAATCAATTTATAAAATTTTTGACATGCGTTTTTCTGGATTTGTTTGTTGTTGTTCTGTCTCTCACTGTTCAAATAAACCTACCATTAAAATTATAGACTGATCATTTTTTTGTCAGTGGGCAAACGTACAAAATCAGCAGGGGATCAAATACTTTTTTCCCCCTCACTGTATCTATCTCTCTCTCTCTCTCTCTCTCTCTCTCTCTCTCTCTCTCTCTCTCTCTCTCTCTCTCTCTCTCTCTTTTTCTCTTCTCTTTTCTCTCTCTCTCTCTCTCTCTCTCTCTCTCTCTCTCTCTCTCTCTTCTCTCCTCTCTCTCTCTCTCTCTCTCTCTCTCTCTCTCTATCTCTCTATCTATCTATCTATCTATCTATCTATCTATCGATCCAAGATGGCATAGCAGTGCGGTCGTGTTCTTTGTTGTGTGTCTGTGTAAATAGCCTGTTTTTTGTATTTTTCGTACATATTTCCATATCACACTTTTCATCCTTCTACAAAATATACTTTCCTGCAAGCCGCCTCATTCAATGTGGAACGGATTCTGTTATTGACTTACCTTTTATCTAGAATATCCAGTTGATACCAGCTAGCCAGCTAACGAGCTACTTGCTATTAGCCACCGTTAGCGGTTTTCACCCAGAACATCGGATTTTCTGCCGGAATAACTGAATCACTGGACATTAACACCGGATCGCAACTAGCTAGCCACAACCAAATTGGATGTTGCTGTTGGCTAATCACCACTGCCCTTGAAGCAAGCACCAGTTAGCCTTGAGCCAGGCCCATATCCCGGCTATCTACCTCTCTGTCTACCGGATGGGAGTAGCCAGCTAACTAGCTACTTGCCATTAGCCACCGCTAGCGGTTTCTCACCATTGTCCGTGGCCTGCACTACCTACCAGCCAGCTCTAGCCTGGACTATTATCCGCCTGTCTGCACAGCGCGTTATCGACCCAGAACATATCGGTTTTTCTGCTGGAATCACTGATTCACTGGACCTTTAACACCGGATCATCGTAGCTAGATAGCTGCAATCAAATGGACGTTGTTGTTGGCTAATCAGCCTCGAGCTAGCCACAAGCCAGGCCCTTCTCCCGGCTATCTACCTCTCTGTCAACCGGACGGGACCTCCTAGTGTTGACACGGAGCCCCGACGATCCAACACGACTGGTCTGCCGACGAAATCGTCTGATGTGATTACAACAGGTTTCCCGTTACGACGTCAACCACGAAGATCCATCTGCTGGCCCCGGCCCACTAGCACACGCTAGCCGTGGCCTCTTGCTCGCTAGTGCTCTAGCAGCCCCCGAACTACCTCCGAACTCTCCTATTGCTGTTCACCGGACCTTATGATAACTCAGCTATACAGCTGATGCCTGCTGGACTGTTCCTCTATACAGTACCGCATCCTGTTTATGTTTAGCCTCAGCCCAAACTTTGTCGCCATTACCAGCTGTTGTCTTAGCTCTCGAATAACACCTGTGATTGCTTTATGCCTCTCTCCCATTTCAATATGCCTTGCTTATTGCTGTTTTGGTTATTTCTTATTGTACTATTTCATTGTAGATCCCCCAGCCCAGCTCAACCTGCCATAGATAGCTCCTTTGTCCCACCCCCCATACACACGGAGATCGACTCAATCGGTGCCTCCAGTGATGCTATCTCTTTCATCGTTACCCAACGCTTAGGTTTACCTCCACTGTACTCATATCCTTCCATATCCTTTTCTGTACATAATGCCCTGAATCTATTCTACAACGGCCGGAAACCTGCCCCTTTTTTTCTCTGTATCCAACGCACTAGAAGACTAGTACTTAAAGCCTTTAGCTGTATCCGTATTCTACTCCTCCTCTGTTCCTCTGGTGATGTAGAGGTTAACCCAGGCCCTGTAGCCCCCAGTATCACTCCTACTCCCCAGGCGTTATCATTTGTTGACTTCTGTAACCGTAAAAGCATTGGTTTCTTGCACGTTAACATCCGAGGCCTCCTCCCTAAGTTTGAGTTATTCACTGCGTTAGCACAGATGTCCTAGCAGTGTCTGAATCCTGGCTTAGGAAGGCCACCAAAAATTCAGAAATATCCATCCCCAACTACAAAATTTTCCGTCTCGATAGAACTGCCAAAGGGGGTGGGGTTGCAATCTACTGTAGAGATAGCCTGCAGAGCTCTATCGTACTATCCAGGTCTGTACCCAAACAGTTTGAGCTTCTACTTCTAATAATCCACCTTTCCAGAAATACTGTAAGTCTCTCACTGTTGCCGCTTGCTACAGACCCCCCTCAGCCCCAAGCTGTGCCCTGGACACCATATGTGAACTGATTGCCCCCCATCTATCCTCAGAGTTCGTACTGCTTGGTGACCTAAACTGGGATATGCTTAACACCCCGGCCAACCTACAATCTAAACTAGATGCCCTCAATCTCACACAAATTATCAACGAACCTACCAGGTACAATCCTAAATCTGGAAACATGGGCACCCTCATAGATATCATCCTGACAAATGTACCCTCTAAATACACCTCCGCTGTCTTCAACCAGGATCTCAGCGATCACTGCCTTATTGCCTGCGTCCGTAATGGGTCTGCGGTCAAACGACCACCCCTCATCACTGTCAAACGCTCCCTAAAACACTTTAGCGAGCAGGCCTTTCTAATTGACCTGGCCCGGGTATCCTGGATGGATATTGACCTCATTCCATCAGTAGAGGATGCCTCGTTGTTCTTTAAAAGTGCTTTCCTCTCAATCTTAAATAAGCATGCCCCATTCAAAAAATTCAGAACTAAGAACAGATATAGCCCCTGGTTCTCCTCAGACTTGACTGCCCTTGACCAGCACAAAAACATCCTGTGGCGTACTGCGTACTGCCCCCTCGATATGCAACTTTTCAGGGAAGTCAGGAACCAATATACACAATCAGTTAGGAAAGCAAAGGCTAGCTTTTTCAAACAGAAATGTGCATCCTGTAGCACTAACTTGGGACACTGTAAAGTCCATGGAAAATAAGAGCACCTCCTCCCAACTGCCCAATGCACTGAGGCTAGGAAACACTGTCACCACCGATAAATCTACAATAATCGAGAATTTCAACAAGCCTTTTGCTACGGCTGGCCATGCTTTCCACCTGGCTACCACTACCCCGGCCACCAGCTCTGTACCCTCCGCTGCAACTTGCCCATGCCCCCCCCCCCCCCCCCCCCCCCCCCCCCCCCCCCCCCCCCCCCCCCCCTCTTCTTCACACAAATTCAGACAGCTGATGTTCTGAAAGAGCTGAAAAATCTGGACCCCTACAAATGAGCTGGGCTAGACAATCTGGACCCTTTCTTTCTAAAATTAGCCGCAGAAATTGTCGCAACCCCTATTTCTAGCCTGTTTAACCTCTCTTTCGTAACGTCTGAGATCCCCAGAGATTGGAAAGCTGCCGCGGTCATCCCCCTCTTCAAAGGGGGTGACACTCTAGATCCAAACTGTTACAGATCTATATCCATTCTGCCCTGCCTTTCGAAAGTATTTGAAAGCCAAGTTAACAAACAGATCATCGACCATTTCGAATCCCACGTACCTTCTCCGCTATGCAATCCGGTTTCCGAGCTGGTCATGGGTGCACCTCAGCCACGCTCAAGGTCCTAAACGATATTATAACCGCGATCGATAAAAGACACTACTGCGCAGCCGTCATCATCGACCTGGCCAAGGCTTTCGACTCTGTCAACCACCGCATTCTTATTGGCAGACTAAATAGCCTTGGTTTCTCTGATGACTGCCTCACCTGGTTCACCAACTACTTCTCAGATAGAGTTCAATGTGTCAAATCGGAGGGCCTGTTGTCTGGACCTCTGGCCGTCTCTATGGGGGTGCCACAGGGTTCAATTCTCGGGCTGACTCTATTCTCTGTGTATATCAATGATGTTGCTCTTGCTGCTGGTGAAGCTCGGATCCACCTCTATGCGGACGACACCATTTTGTATACATCTGGCCCTTCATTGGACACTGTGTTAACAAACCTCCAGACGAGCTTCAACGCCATACAACACTCCTTCCGTAGCCTCCAACTGCTCTTAAACACTAGTAAAACTAAATGCATGCTCTTCAACCGAACGCTGCTTGCACCCGCCCACCCGACTAGAATCACTACTCTCGGCGGGTCTGACCTAGAGTATGTGGACAACTACAAATACCTAGGTGTCTGGTTAGACTGTAAACTCTCCTTCCAGACTCACATTAAGCATCTCCAATCAAAAGTTAGATCTAGAATCGGCTTCCTATTTCGCAACAAAGCCTCCTTCACTCATGCTGCCAAACATGCCCTCGTAAAACTGACTATCCTACCGATCCTTGACATCGGCGATGTCATTTACAAAATAGCCTCCAACACTCTACTCAGCAAATTGGATGTAGTCTATCACAGTACCATCCGTTTTGTCACCAAAGCCCCATATACTACCCACCATTGTGACCTGTATGCTCTTGTTGGCTGGCCCTCACTACATATTCGTCGCCAAACCCACTGGCTCCAGGTCATCTATAAATCACTGCTAGGCAAATCCCCATCTTACCTTAGCTCACTGGTCACCATAGCAACACCCACCCGTAGTCTGCGCTCCAGCAGGTATATGTCACTGGTCATCCCCAAAGCCAACACCTCCTTTGGCCGCCATTCCTTCCAGTTCTCTGCTGCCAATGACTGGAACGAACTGCAAAAATCTCTGAAGCTGGAGACTCTTATCCCACTCACTAACTTTAAGCGTCAGTTGTCAGAGCAGCTTACCGATCACTGCACCTGTACACAGCCATTCTGAAATTAGCCCACCCAACTACCTCACCCCATATTGTTATTTATTTTGCTAATTTGCACCCCAGTATCTCTATTTGCACATCATCTTTTGCACATCTATCATAATAATAATAATATGCCATTTAGCAGACGCTTTTATCCAAAGCGACTTACAGTCATGCGTGCATACATTTTTTTTTTGTGTATGGGTGGTCCCGGGGATCGAACCCACTACCTTGTTCCAGTGTTAATACGAAATTGTAACTATTTTGCACTATGGCCTATTTATTGCCTTACCTCCATAACTTACTACATTCGCACACACTGTATATATATTTTCTGTTTGTATTTTTGACTTTATGTTTTGTTTTACCCCATATGTAACTCTGTGTTGTTGTTATTATCGCACTGCTTTGCTTTATCTTGGCCAGGTCGGAGTTGTAAATGAGAACTTGTTCTCAACTGGCTTACCTGGTTAAATAAAGGTGAAATAAATAAAAATATTTATATCTCTCTAGCTCTCTCTCTCTCTCTCTCTCTCTTTATTCACGGGGCTTTTGCTACGAACTGTTATGTGGGGAGGAGGAGACAGTGCAGCATCTGTGGTGTTTTCTGTCCTGAGTGGGTGGTGTACAGGCTTGGGGTTGGGGCTGACTCTGGACCTATACGTTGGAGGGCCTAGGTATAGTGTAGCCAACAAGCGAAGAGAATGCCTAGTAAAGTACCTGTTGGGGTAGGCATAAAAACTGTTACTGCAGTGGGCTAAATCAGGGTCACACAGAGAACAAATCTACTTTGAAACAAAAGTATACACCTCACACACATTGTCATGGGCTTAAAGAAGAGAAGATACCTGTACTCTGTCAGATATAGAGTGGAAATGTATTCAATTTTGAGTTTGCATCCCAATATTACACTTTATAAACATCACAGAAGACTGAAATATAACAAAACTGTTTCACATTGAAACACCAGATTTGTGTTTTTTTAAATGTTTATGAAGTTTATTAATTAAGAGTCTATTGATGCACCCGCGCGTCAATCTAAGTAACATAATACAACACTCCCCATCAAAATCTGTCAGTTTAAGCTAGAGATATCAGTATAGAGATATCAGTATAGAGATATCAGTATAGAGATATCAGTATAGAGATATCAGTCTCAATCCAATGCTTCCACATCTGCGGTGGAAGGTGGCTGAGCTACAGCGATGTTTGTCAGACCATGAGACATGCCGAAAATCTGTCTTCTCATGAAAACATCTGTACTGTCCGAACAGTTTGGCACGATGGTGTTTTTGCTCTATGACCCACACAAGGGTCGTGGGACTCGTCTGAAGGTAACCCATACAAATGAATGGAAGTAGTTTTGTGGCAAATAATAAGGGGTTAAATATGTGTACCAAAAAATATATAGATATATATACAGTGCATTCGGAAAGTATTCAAACCCCTTCACTTTTTCCAAATTTTATTAATTTACAGCCTTATTCTAAAATGGATTAAATAGTTTTTTACATAAGTATTCAGACCCTTTACTCAGTACTTTGTTGAATAACCTTCTTGGGTATGATGCTACAAGCTTGGCATACCTGTATTTGGGGAGTTTCTTCCATTCTTCTCTGCAGATCCTCTCAAGCTCTGTCAGGTTGGATGGGGAGCGTTGAGTTGCACCTCCTTTAGCCTTCAGAACAGCCTCAATTCGTCGAGGCATGGACTCTACAAGGTGTCCAAAGCCTTCCACAGGGATGCTGGCCCATGTTGACTCCAATGCTTCCCACAGTTGTGTCAAGTTTGCTGGATGTCCTTTAGGATGTCCTTTATTCTTGATACACATGGGAAACTGTTGAGCGTGAAAACCCTAGCAGCGTTGCAGTTCTTGACACAAACCAGTGCGCCTGACACCTGCTACCATACCCCGTTCAAAGGCACTTAAATCTCTTGCCCATTCACCCTCTGAATGGCACACTCACACAATTTACATTTACATTTTAGTCATTTAGCAGACACTCTTATCCAGAGCGACTTACAGTTAGTGAGTGCATACATTTTCATACTGGCCCCCCGTGGGAAAAGAACCCACTGGCGTTGCAAGTGCCATGCTCTACCAACTGAGCTACAGCGGACTACACAATCCATGTCTCAATTGTCTCAAGGCTTAAAATTCCTTCTTTAACCTGTCCCCCCCCCCCTCATCTACAATGATTGAAGTGGACTTAACAAGTGACATCAATAAGGGATCATAGTTTTCACCTGGATTCACCTGGTCAGTCTATGTCATGGAAAGAGCAGGTGTTCTTAATGTTTTGTATACTCAGTGTTCATGCCCCAGCAGCACAGCTCTAGGGTCTGTACACCCCCTGTGGCTCATGTTTCCTGGCCTTCCACACTGTCAGGAACCCTTTCCTGCAGTCAAGCACATACCCCAACCAGAAGCCATGGATTACAGGCAACATCCGCACTGAGTTAAAGGTTAGAGCTGCCGCTTTCAAGGAGCGGGACTCTAACCCGGACGCTTATAAGAAATCCCGCTATGCCCTCCGATGAACCATCAAACAGGCAAAGAGTCAATACAGGACTAAGATTGAATCGTACTACACCGGCTCTGATGCTCGTCGGATGTGGCAGGGCTTGAAAACTATTACAGACTACAAAGGGAAGCACAGCCGCGAGCTGCCCAGTGACACAAGCCTACCAGACGAGCTAAATCACTTCTATGCTCGCTTCGAGGCAAGCAACACTGAAGCATGCATGAGAGCATCAGCTGTTCCGGATGACTGTGTGATCACGCTTTTTGTAGCCGATGTGAGTAAGACTTTTAAGCAGGTCAACATTCACAAGGCCTCAGGGCATGCGCTGACCAACTGGCAAGTGTCTTCACTGACATTTTCAACATGTCCCTGACTGAGTCTGTAATACCAACATGTTTCAAGCAGACCACCATAGTCCCTGTGCCCAAGAACACTACGATAACTTGCCTAAATGACTACCGAACCGTAGCGCTCACGTCTGTAGCCATGAAGTGCTTTGAAAGGTTGGTCATGGCTCACATCAACACCATTATCCCAGAAACCCTAGACCCCACTCCAATATGCATACCGCCCCAACAGATCCACAGATGATGCAATCTCTATTGCACTCCACACTGCCCTTTCCCACCTGGACAAGATGAACACCTACGTGAGAATGCTATTCATTGACTACAGCTCAGCGTTCAACACCATAGTGCCCTCAAAGCTCATCACTAAGCTAAGGACCCTGGGACTAAACACCTCCCTCTGCAACTGGATCCTGGACTTCCTGACGGGCCGCTCCAGGTGGTAAGGGTAGGTAACAACACATCTGCCACGCTGATCCTGAAGGGTGTGTGCTCAGTCCCCTCCTGTACTCCCTGTTCACCCATGACTGCATGGCCAGGCACGACTCCAACACCATCATTAAGTTTGCCGACGACACAACAGTGGTAAGCCTGATCACTGACAATGATGAGACAGCCTATAGGGAGGAGGTCAGAGACCTGGCCGTGAAGTGGCAGGATAACAACCTCTCCCTCAATGTGATCAAGACAAAGGAGATGATTGTGGACTACAGGAAAAAAAAGAGGACTGAGCATGCTCCCATTCTCATTGACGGGGCTGTAGTGGAACAGGTTGAGAGCTTCAAGTTCCTTGGTGTCCACATCACCAACAAACTATCATGGTCGTGAAGAGGGCACGACAAAGCCTATTCCCCCTCAGGAGACTGAAAAGATTTGGCATGGGTCCTCAGATCCTCAAAAAGTTATACAGCTGCACCATAGAGAGCATCCTGACTGGTTGCATCACCGCTTGGTATGGCAACTGCTCGGCCTCCGACCGCAAGGCACGACAGAGGGTAGTGCGTACGGCCCAGTACATCACTGGGGCCAAGCTTCCTGCCATCCAGGACTTATATACCAGGCGGTGTCAGAGGAAGGCCCTAAAAATTATAAAAGACTCCAGCCACCCTAGTCATAGACTGTTCTCTCTGCTACCGCACGGCAAGCGGTACTGGAGCACCAAGTCTAGGTCCAAAAGGCTTCTTAACAGCTTTTACCCCCAAGCCATAAGACTCCTGAACAGCAAATTTGAAATTACCTAGTGGCCTCATGGGTGGAATGTTATTAATATTTTTCATAATTCCATAATTTATAATTAATTAACCTTTAAAAGTCTATGCAGTTGGGGGGGGGGGGGGGGGATCCGTGTTGTCTTGGCTGTGTGCTTAGGGTAATTGTCCTGTTGGAAGGTGAACCTTCGACCCAGTCTGAGGTCCTGAGTGCTCTGGAGCAGGTTTTCATCAAGGATCTCTCTGTACTTTGCTCCGTTAATCTTCCCCTCGATCCTGACTAGTCTCCCAGTCCTTTGGCACTGAAAAACATCCCCACAGCATGATGCTTCCACCACCATGCTTCACTGTAGGGATGGTGCCAGGTTTCCTCCAGACGTGACACTTGGCATTCAGGCCAAAGTGTTCAATCATGGTTTCATCAGACCAGAGAATCTTGTTTCTCATGGTCTGAGAGTCCTTTAAGTGCCTTTTGGCAAACTCCAAGCGGGCTGTCATGTGCCTTTTACTGAGGAGTGTCTTCCGTCTGGCCACTCTGCCATAAAAGCCTGATTGGTGGAGTGCTGCAGAGATGGTTATCCTTCTGGAAGGTTCTCCCATCTCCACAGAGGAACTCTGGAGCTCTGTCAGAGTGACCATCGGGTTCTTGGTCACCTCCCTGACCAAGGCCCTTCTCCCCCGATTGCTCATTTTGGCCGGGTGGCCAGCTCTAGGAAGAGTCTTGGTGATTCCAAACTTCTTCCATTTCAGAATGATGGAGGCCACTGTGTTCTTGGGGACCTTCAATGCTGCAGAAATGTTTTGGTACCCTTCCCCAGATCTGTGCCTCAACACAATCCTGTCTCGGAGCTCCATGGACAATTCCTTCGACCTCATGGCTTAGTTTTTGTTCTTACATGCACTGTCAACTGTGGGACCTTATATATACAGGTGTGTGCCTTTCCAAATCATGTCCAATCAATTGAATTTACCACAGGTGGACTCCAATCAAGTTGTAGAAACATCAAAAAAATTATCAATGGAAACAGAATGCACCTGAGCTCAATTTCGAAGTCTCATAGCAAAGGGTCTGAATACTTATGGTTGTTTTTTTTATACATTTGCCAAAATTTCTACTAACCAGTTTTCGCTTTGTCATTATGGGGTATTGTGTGTAGATTGATGAGGATTTGTTTTTATTTAATCCATTTTAGAATAAGGCTGTAATGTAACAAAATGTGGAAAAGGTCAAGGGGTCTGAATACTTCCCGAAAGCACTGTATATATAACAATCTTTCTGTCTCTCTCTCTCTCTTTCTGTCCTGCCCTCCTCCTTTCTCCCTAGTGGTCGCAATGGGAAGATGCGCGTCCTCTCCTTCAAGACGGGACTGGTGAGCCTGTGCAATGCGGATGTTCAGGAGAAGTATAAATGTAAGTATGAGACCCGTTCATGTAGACATCACAGCACTGCAGCCCCCTAAATAAGGACAAAAACAAACCAGCCTGATTGCAAGCATTACATGAAGACAACCACTTAGCCTAATGGAGGAAATTACTCTGCTGTATAATAATGTAGAAAGGCTCTGTCTCTCTCTCTCTCGCTCTCTCTCTCTCGCTCTCTCTCTCGCGCTCTCTCTCTCTCTCTCGGTGCGCTCTCTCTTCCCTCTCTCTCGCTCTCTCTCTCTCTCTCTCTCTCTCTCTCCTCTCTCTCTCTCTCTCTCTCTCCTCTCTCTCTCCGGTCTCTCTCTCTCTCTCTCTCCCTCTCTCTCTCTCCTCTCTCCTCCTCAGCTCTCTCCTCTCTCCTCTCGTCTCTCTCTCTCTCGGTGTGCTCTCTCTCTCTCTCTCTCTCTCTCTCTGTTCAAAGTACATAGGGCTTTTAAGCAGAGAGAAGACACTATGGTAGAGAGAAGACCCACACTCACCACACTCAGCTCTCTCTCTGGGCCCCTCTGGCTTCCCTTTTCGATTTTCAATTATGCTCTAATATTTCACTGGTGGCCAGCTCAAGGGAAGTAAAACCATTTTACAGCTTCTTTGTAACCACATTTTACGACACAGCCTTTTAAATATGTGAAGAAGAGGGGGAGGAGAGAGAATGAGCGCTGTCATCCATAGTGAGAGACCTGGAACAGAAAGTCACGGGATACAAGACTTTAGCCCCAGCAGGTCAGGGCAGGCCCACTGTCAGTTGGCACACCATCTGTGACAGCTCGTAAAAATTGATTGACAGATTTTGAGTCTTTTGTTATGGCCGACAAAGCAGGAAAGGCATGCCCCTGGATGCTTGTGAGGGTAGAGGGGAGCAGTGATGCCAGCCATGCCAGTTTGTCCCAGTGATTGATCACACATTTTGTCTCCTAAGCTCAGAGGAGAGATGATACCTGATTATGCTAGTAAACAACGGGCACATCTGGTGAATGAGTGAACGTGGCAGCGTGGCAGTATGGCAGACACAGTGTTTTTGTGTGTGTGTGTGTGTTTGTGTGTGTGTGTGTGTGCGCATGAGTGTGTTCAAGGGTTCCACATTACTAGGGTAGAGAGGCTGACGACGTGTGTGTGTGTGTGTGTGGGGTAGAGGCTGACATTATCAGACTGTTTAACATGCAGGTGTCAGTGTCTTCTACTCCCTCCTGAGTCATGTGCATGGGAGAGGCAGGCAGGCTGGGGCTGGTGCTATTTATAATGGCATTGTGCAGCACCTTCACACAGCTGTCAGTATCCATCTCCTCAGTGACAGGCAGAGTCACGACTCGCAGATGAAGGCCCCTTTCAGAGCCTGACGAGGCAGCGAGCACTAATGCAGCCCGTTGTCTGCAATTAGATCAACACGGTTGCCCCTCCTCTCTCTCTCTCTCTCTCTCTCTCTCTCTCTCTCTACTGTAGCTCTCTCTCTCCCAACAGACCTAGATACAGTCAGAGGGAAATATCGGCCACACACATAGAGAAACACTGAGAACATGGATGTGGGTACATACAGTGCATTGGTAAAGTATTCAGACCCCTGGACTTTTTCCACATTTTGTTACGTTACAGCCTTATTCTAAAATGGATTAAACAGTTTTTTTCCCTCATCAATCTACACACAATACCCCATAATGACAAAGCAAATGTATTAAAAACAGAAAACTGAAATATCACATTTACATAAGTATTCAGACCCTTTACTCAGTACTTTGTTGAAGCACCTTTTGGTATGACGCTACAAGCTTGGCACACCTGTATTTGGGGAGTTTCTCCCATTCTTCTCTGCAGATTCTCTCAAGCCGTGTCAGGTTGGATGGGGAGCGTCGCTGCACAGCTATTTTCAGGTCTCTTCACAGATGTTAGATTGGGTTCAAGTCCGGGCTCTGGCTGGGCCACTCAAGGACATTCAGAGTCTTGTCCTGAAGCCACTCCTGCGTTGTCTTGGCTGTGTGCTTAGGGTCATTGTTCTGTTGGAAGGTGAACCTTCGCCCCAGTCTGAGGTCCTGAGCGCTATGGAGCAGGTTTTCATCAAGGATCTCTCTGTACTTTGCTCCGTTAATCTTTCCCTCGATCCTGACTAGTCTCCCAGACCCTGCCACTGAAAAACATCCCCACAGCATGATGCTGCCACCACCATGCTTCAACGTAGGGATGGTGCCAGGTCTCCTCCAGATGTGACGCTTGGCGTTCAGGCCAAAGAGTTTAATCTTGGTTTCATCATACCAGAGAATCTTGTTTCTCATGGTCTGAGAGTCCTTTAGGTGCCTTTTGGCAAACTCCAAGCGGGCTGTCATGTGCCTTTTACTGAGGAGTGGCTTCCTTCTGGCCACTCTACCATAAAGGCCTGATTGGTGGAGTGCTGCAGAGATGGTTATCCTTCTGGAAGGTTCTCCCATCTCCACAGAGGAACTCTGGAGCTCTGTCTGAGTGATGTGGAAAAAGTCAATGTGGAAAAAGTGAAGAGATCTGAATACTTTCCGAATGCACTGTATGCATAGGTGTGAATAGTAGATGCACTGTATGCATAGGTGTGAATAGTAGATGTAATATACGCTCATTCACACAAACAGACATACTGTATACACACACAGGCTTAGATACTACACATTACACACAGGCTTAGATACTACACATTACACACAGGCTTAGATACTACACATTACACACAGGCTTAGATACTACACATTACACACAGGCTTAGATACTACACATTACACACAGGCTTAGATACTACACATTACACACAGGCTTAGATACTACACATTACACACAGGCTTAGATACTACACATTACACATGGGTGAACATAGTGTCACACACACACACACATAGTATTAACCCGATATGTTTTGTCAGACCTGTTCAGGCAGGTGTCTGGTCCAGGGGGTCTGACAGACCAGCGTTACCTCAGTATGCTGCTCTATGAAGCCATCCAGATCCCCCGACAGCTGGGAGAGGTGGCCGCCTTCGGAGGGAGCAACGTGGAGCCCAGTGTACGCAGCTGCTTCCGCATGGTGAGATAACTACACACACACACGCACACACACACACACACACACACAGACAGACACACAGACAGACAGACACACACACACGCGCAGGCTGCAAACACATACATACGTACACGCAGGCAGGCAGGCACGCACGCAGACACCACGCAATTTCTCAAGCCAGAATTTTGCTTGGACTGTCTGGGAGTGGTCTGCGTGAGCTGTTATTGGCAGAGAGATTTGAAATTCTATTTGTTATTGGAGATGTCACCAGGCAGTCCAAAACTGTATCTCACCAAAACAGGCTGAGATTTCAGGGGGTCTTTTCAAACAGCTCTTACACTAAAAGGGCATAATCATAATTTTCACAATTTCACAGTATTATTCCACAGTATATATGGGAATATATATAAAATCTAGTTTTTGACTGCACTGGGCCTTTAAGCATTATAAATGTGCTTACAATGCACTATGTGCGGGGCATTGATCGTGTTACTGATGCAATTATTCATTCTGAGTGAAATCCTGTGTGAACCAATGTGGTCTGTGGACATGTTTTTAAGGATATTTGTGAAATTAATCGGGTTTAAAAGACTGTGTTGGGGGAACCATATAACATTATTTTAAAGTTTTACAGTTAGCAGATGGAGACATGGAAGAACTGTCAACAACACTTCTGTTGCTGAGGGCATTGCCATTCCCACTCTCAAACATGGGGGTTCAGCTTTTTGAAATCCCGCCTCGTGGCATTTAGCTCAGGAGATAAATGTATTTATAAAGCAGTCCCTTTAGTTATAGGTTTGGGACAAGTAGGGACTAGGTTTTTGGGAGTTGGCTTTTTTAAAAACTTTCTAAAACCCCTAATTCTTCACTTTTTTACAGCCAACCCTTAATTAAATCTCGCTCGATTCCCATCCATGCTTCTGATATCAGCCTGTTTGTCAAGTCTATTTGCTTTATGTCAAGTCTTTTATGAGCAGATTTCATTATCAGTGTAGTGCCAATCAGAAGTGCCCAAATAAACAATTTATCAAGTTGGCATGGTAATGAAGTCAAAGTGAGGGGATGACGTGCGCTAGCTCCTCTTGTGGGTGTAGGGTGTAGCGGAGAGGTGTAGCGGAGTCATTGATGACATAGGGGCAGATGGGTTTGGCTCTACATGGAGGATGGCAGGATCAGAGGGAGGGAGGGAGTTACACTACAGTAAGCATGCTGTGATGTGGCCCTCCATGCTCTGTATGTATAGAGAGACCAGTCTGTTGTACTCTGTGAGGCCATGGAGAGTGTAAGTTGTGTGTGTTTTGTGTGTCGTGGCTTTGTGTAGTCAGTGTGTCCAGTTCTAATAGTTATTGAAACTGTGGACAGTCAGTGGGTCCAGTTCTAATAGTTATTGATACTGTGGACAGTCACTGTGTCCAGTTCTAATAGCTATTGATACTGTGGACAGTCCGTGGGTCCAGTTCTAATAGTTATTGAAACTGTGGACAGTCCGTGGGTCCAGTTCTAATAGCTATTGATACTGTGGACAGTCAGTGGGTCCAGTTCTAATAGCTATTGATACTGTGGACAGTCACTGTGTCCAGTTCTAATAGTTATTGATACTGTGGACAGTCAGTGTGTCCAGTTCTTATAGTTATTGATACTGTGGACAGTCAGTTTGGATGTGGCCAGAACAATCCATATATCCAGTGCAGTGTACTAGGTGTGTTCAGTATGTACTCAGTGTGTTCAGTATGTTGAAACATTTGTCCCCCCACAATCAGAGCTGGCGACTGAACCATAGAGCAGAAAGGAGAGGAGAGTTGAGGAGAGGAGAGTTGAGGAGAGGTGAGCAGGGCAGAGAAAAGAGCAGAGAGGAGAGGAGCGGTTGAGTTGAGGAGAGGAGAGTTGAGAAGAGTTGAGGAGAGCTGAGGAGAGCTGAGGAAAGTTGAGGAGACTTGAGGAGAGGTGAGCAGGGCAGGGCAGAGAAAAGAGCAGAGAGGAGCGGTTGAGTTGAGGAGAGGAGAGAAGAGCTGAGGAGATGGGAGGAGAGGAGTGCTGAGGAGATGAGAGTTGAGGAGAGTTTAGGACAGGAGAGTTGAGGGGAAGAGAGGAGATTTGAGGAGAATAGAGGAGAGGAGAGAAAAATGTGATGAGTGTGATTAGAAGGAGTCAGGCGCAGGAGGGTAAATCACAGAATACAGAGTTTATTCCGTCGTACACAGTTGCGCTGGATAGCGACAACAAAATACAGGCACAAGGGAACAAGCTACCCCGGCAATACAAGGTACAGGTAGCTCCAACAAAATACAGGCATAGGGAAATAATCTACCCTGGCAACACAAGAAATGAGTAGCTCCACCGAGATACACTCAACTCACATAAAACAATCACCCACAAGGACAAGGGGGCAGAGGGAATACATACACAGACTAATGAGGGGATATGAACCAGGTGTGACAAGACAAATGGAATGATGATATATGGAGCGGCAGTGGCTAGTAAGCCGGTGACGACGAACGCCGAAGCCTGCCCGAACAAGGAGGGGAGGCAGCCTCGGCGGAAGTTGTGACAGTACCCCCCCTTGACGCGCAGCTCCAGCAGCGCGCCGACCCCGGCCTCGGGGAGCAGGGCGAGCCGGATGGCGACGGTGGAAATCCCGCAACAGGGAGGGATCGAGGATATCCCTCACCGGGACCCAGCACCGTTCCTCCGGACCGTACCCCTCCCACTCCACGAGGTACTGAAAGCCCCCCACCCGACGCCTCGAATCCAGGATGGAGCGGACAGAGTACACCGGGGACCCCTCGATGTCCAGAGGAGGTGGAGGGACCTCCCGCACCTCAGACTCCTGGAGCGGAACAGCCACCACCGGCCTGAGGAGAGACACATGAAATGAGGGGTTAATATGATAATCAGGGGGAAGTAATAACCTATAGGTGACCTCGTTGATTCTCCTCAGGACTTTGAACGGCCCCACAAACCGCGGGCTCAGCTTCCGGCAGGACAGGCGGAAGGGCAGATTCTGGATCGAGAGCCAGACCCGATCCCCCGGTACGAAGACCGGGGCCTCACCATGGCAAGAACACCGACCACTCCCCCGGCCGGTCCTGGCAGTAGGACCGCAGGAACCTACCCACATCCTGATTTACCCGTTCCACCTGCCCATTAGAGTCGGGGTGGAACCCAGAGGTCAGGCTGACAGAGACCCCCAGATGTTCCATGAACGCCTTCCAGACCCTGGATGTGAACTGGGGACCTCGGTCAGACACTATATCCTCTGGTACCCCGTAGTTCCGGAAGACGTGTGTAAACAGGGCCTCCGCAGTTTGCAGAGCTTTGGGGAGACCGGGCAGAGGAAGGAGGCGGCAGGCCTTGGAAAAGCGGTCCACAACGACCAGGATGGTGGTGTTACCTTGGGAGAGGGGAAGATCAGTCAGGAAATCAACACTTAGGTGAGACCATGGTCGTTGTGGAACTGGTAAAGGTTGTAACTAACCCGCTGGGAGGTGCCTAGGTGCCTTAATCTGGGCGCAAACCGAGCAGGAGGAGACATATCAACCTCCTGTTTATGTATTTGTGCTTTTAACAGAGTTCTTCCAGGGTAACTTTAAGGGAATATGTAATTACCTACTAATAAGAACACTTAAGGAAAACTGTGATAAATAAAAAAGTATATCAGTTTCATTTAAGGACCAAAGGATTGACAGCCGTCCCATTGTCAGGGCGTCAGTGTAATGCAGTAGGCGAAGTCAGGCGCAGGACACAGAGCTAATCAAAAGGCGTACTTTACTCGAAGGTAAAAGAAAGAACAACAACCTCCACGCAGGGAGGGAACAAACCCGCATACTAACGACAACCGAAACATGAACAAACACACACAACACACAGTGTGAGACAGAGGGTTATATAGGGAAGACATAACTACATAATGGGAAACAGGTGTGACCAATAAAGACAAAACAAGTTGAACATAGATACATGGATCGGTAGCAGCTAGTACTCCGGTGACGACGAACGCCGAAGCCTGCCCGAGCAAGGAGGAGGGGCAGCCTCGGCTGAATCCATGACACCCATATAGATTTCAAAATAGTTGGGAAGAGATTTTTGACGTACCGATCCAATGGCATAGTGTTTATGAACTGATACGCAAAACGACACCGGATTCAAAATTTAGAATCTTTCAATTTAAATTATTATATAAAATTCTTGCTACCAATACAACGTTATTTATATGGGGGATACAATCTTCCCAGCTCTGCAGATTTTGCTGCGAAGAGACAGAATCATTAGATCATTTGTTTTGGTACTGTCCATTTGTAGCTTGCTTTTGGACACATTTACATTACATTTACGTCATTTAGCAGACGCTCTTATCTAGAGCGACTTACAGTTAGTGAATACATTATTCTTTTTTTATACTGGCCCCCCGTGGGAATCGAACCCACAACCCTGGCGTTGCAAACACCATGCTCTACCAACTGAGCTACCTCCCTGCCGGCCATTCCCTCCCCGCCGGCCATTCCCTCCCCTACCCTGGGCCAATTGTGCGCCGCCCCATTGGTCTCCCGGTTGTGGCCGGCTACAGCAGAGCCTGGATTCGAACCACTTGGGAGGCGCAGTGGTCCAGGAATGGCTAAAGGATTGCAATATTTACCTGGAGCTAACCTTGCAGATAGAAAAGTCATAGTCAATCGATCAATAATATAATAATACTTTTAGCAAAAATGTTTATTTTCAATTCACAATCTGTAGAAACAATGAGAATAGAAAGGTTCAGAACTTTTGTAAGACATCACAGTACAGTTGAAATATATATGGCAAATAGAAATCCTATATGGATGGTGTTAAGAGATAGATGGGTGGTGTTGAATGGAATTGAAGGATGGTACTAATAACAACTAACAACAAATAATAACAAGATAACTAATAATGTAAGCATACTGTGTCCATAATAAGTATATAGGTTGTAAAATGATCGGAGAGGTTGAGAGTAGAAGAACTTCAGGAGAAAAAACAAACAAAATATAATTATTGTAAAATTGACTGTGTCCATAAAATGTAGATAGTAAGTATAAGCTGGAAGTAGAGGCCTAAGCATTGTTGTTCACTAGTTTACTCCAAGTAGGGAAAGGGTGGCGGGGTTGGAAAGTAATAAAGGGGAATATATATTTTTTTAAAGGATAAGTATGTGTATGTATGTACGTATGTATGTATGTGTGTATGTATGTGTGTGTGTGTATATATGTATGTATGTGTGTATGTATGTGTGTGTGTGTATATATGTATGTATATATGTATATATATATATATATATATATATATCTATATATATATATATATATATATATATATATATGTATGTGTATGTGTATATACACTGCTCAAAAAAATAAAGGGAACACTAAAATAACATCCTAGATCTGGATGAATGAAATAATCTTATTAAATACTTTTTTCTTTACATAGTTGAATGTGCTGACAACAAAATCACACAAAAATTATCAATGGAAATCAAATTTATCAACCCATGGAGGTCTGGATTTGGAGTCACCCTCAAAATTATAGTGGAAAACCACACTACAGGCTGATCCAACTTTGATGTAATGTCATTAAAACAAGTCAAAATGAGGCCTCCACATGCCTGTATGACCTCTCTAAAACAACTGGGCATGCTCCTGATGAAGTGGCGGATGGTCTCCTGAGGGATCTCCTCCCAGACCTGCCAACTCCTGGACAGTCTGTGGTGCAACTTGGCGTTGGTGGATGGAGTGAGACATGATGTCCCAGATGTGCTCAATTGGATTCAGGTCTGGGGAACGGGCGGGCCAGTCCATAGCATCAATGCCTTCCTCTTGCAGGAACTGCTGACACACTCCAGCCACATGAGGTCTAGCATTGTCTTGCATTAGGAGGAACCCAGGGCCAACCGCACCAGCATATGGTCTCACAAGGGGTCTGAGGATCTCATCTCGGTTCCTAATGGCAGTCAGGCTACCTCTGGCGAGCACATGGAGGGCTGTGCGGCCCCCCAAAGAAATGCCACCCCACACCATGACTGACCCACCGCCAAACCGGTCATGCTGGAGGATGTTGCAGGCAGCAGAATGTTCTCCACGGCGTCTCCAGACTCTGTCACGTGCTCAGTGTGAACCTGCTTTCATCTGTGAAGAGCACAGGGCGCCAGTGGTGAATTTGCCAATCTTGGTGTTCTCTGGCAAATGCCAAACGTCCTGCACGGTGTTGGGCTGTAAGCACAACCCCCACCTGTGGACGTCGGGCCCTCATACCATCCTCATGGAGTCTGTTTCTGACCGTTTGAGCAGACACATGCACATTTGTGGCCTGCTGGAGGTCATTTTGCAGGGCTCTGGCAGTGCTCCTCCTGCTCCTCCTTGCACAAAGGCGGAGGTAGCAGTCCTGCTGCTGGGTTGTTGCCCTCCTACGGCCTCCTCCATGTCTCCTGATGTACTGGCCTGTCTCCTGGTAGCGCCTCCATGCTCTGGACACTACGCTGACAGACACAGCAAACCTTCTTGCCACAGCTCGCATTGATGTGCCATCCTGGATGAGCTGCACTACCTGAGCCACTTGTGTGGGTTGTAGACTCCGTCTCATGCTACCACTAGAGTGAAAGCACCACCAGCATTCAAAAGTGACCAAAACATCAGCCAGGAAGCATAGGAACTGAGAAGTGGTCTGTGGTCACCACCTGCAAAACCAGTCCTTTATTGGGGGGTGTCTTGCTAATTGCCTATAATTTCCACCTGTTGTCTATTCCATTTGCACAACAGCATGTGAAATGTATTGTCAATCAGTGTTGCTTCCTAAGTGGACAGTTTGATTTCACAGAAGTGTGATTGACTTGGAGTTACATTGTGTTGTTTAAGTGTTCCCTTTATTTTTTTGAGCAGTGTATATATATAAATGGGGGTTTGGAAGTGATGCAGACAATTAATTGATGGAAGTTACAATCTATCTGTAATATTAAGCTGATCTACCCCCCAAAAAATAAAAAATAAAAGAAGAAGAAGAAGAAGAACCCTATGGAACTACAGGTAGTTTAATTGTACTGCATAACTGTAATGGATAGTAGCATTTTACACACAAACAAACAGGAGAAAAAACAAGCACAAGTTACTCAGGTATAATGTTTCCCATGTTCTTCCTCCCGTAGGCCCCAGGGAAGCCAGCCATCGAGGTATCTCATTTCCTGGAGTGGATGAGCCTGGAGCCCCAGTCAGTAGTGTGGCTGGCTGTTCTACAGCGTGTGGCTGTGGCCGAGTCAGCCAAGCACCAGGCCAAGTGTTACATCTGTAAACAGTGCCCCATCAAGGGATTCAGGTGGGTCTATTGTACCTCTATCAGAGATTAAGAAAGGTGGATGTAACACACATAGACACACACACACACATACACACAGAGAGCCTTGAATTCAACAACATCATGGATGAGGATAGAGCTATTACTAGGGCCTCTCTAATGTTACTGACTGTGATATAATTGTCCGTTCTGCTGATCTGTCCTGACAGGTACCGCAGTCTTAAACAATTCAATGTGGACATCTGCCAGACGTGCTTCCTCACAGGACGCACAACCAAGGGAAAGAAGCAGCTCCAATACCCCATCATGGAGTACTATACCCCAGTAAGAAGGGGTACTACACCCAGGCTGCCTCCCACATGTCACCCAATTAAAGGTCAAAAGTAGTGAACTATGTAGGAAATAGGGTGCCATTTCAGACACAGCCCGCAATATGCTCTACACTTCCCTCTTAAAGAGGCAATCTGCAGTTTAAACAATAACAAAGTGGCCACCCCTCCATTGTTTCGGTCAACAGCTGAGGGTTGGGGCTGGAGATATGTAACCACTCTCAAATTCATAGACAGAGCTATGGATGCAAGGATTGACCGTCCATGATATCAAAATTATAGTTTAAAATGACACATTGGTTTCCTTACCTTGTAAGCATTCAAGTCATGGGACAGATATTAGCATTTTTCGTGCATCATGTCCAAATCATCCGAAAGTATCTCAAATTGATTGTGAAGCTCAACAAAGTAACTTGTAGACGTTTGAACATGATGCGTGAAAAATGCCCCGGTCCCATGTCTTGAATGGGATTTGTGCCACAAATGCTAAAACTTTAGCATGTGAAAACAGTGCCAAGGGAACTAAACCAAATCATTGATTGCTGTCATACCTTGACTGCTTACAGGGTAAGGAACCAATATGCCATTTAGTAATTTGGGTGTACTATCCCTTTAACCATGTTTGTAGGCTATACATTGTTTGCGTACAATGAAGTAAGACACACTTATACTGTGGGTTCTGATAGGGTTAGACAGTTGAACTAAGTCCATGAGGCATTTATAAGTTATATTCTTCAAAAATCAATGGGCAATAATAATTAATTTAACAGTCCAGAAATGGATATAGCAATTGCAGATTGCTCCTTTAAGAGAGTGCACAAAGAGGATGTCACACTAGCACTCTACTTCAACTCCAATCAATGCGAGGCTGTGAGATATGGCAGGGAGACATGTGCCAAATCATTTCTCCCAGGGCAGTATTTCAACCAGGGGAAGGTTTAAGTGGAGCTAAGCTGGAGTTTTTCACCTGGGCTCTGACTCCTATGCTGCTGGGTTGTATGATGGAGTGGAGGTGGGTAGGCCAGTGAGGTCCGAGGGAGATAGAGGGAGATAGAATACTGGACTAGCCGTAGGGCACTATCAGAAAGTTTAGTTAAAGACAAGGCTATCTAGGGAATGTTGGCTAGCTGTGTGTTTGTGTTTGTGTGTGTGTGTGTGTGTGTGTGTGCATGCGCGCGTGTGTGTGTGTGTGTGTGTCCCTGCGTGCACGCGTATGTGCATGCATGTGCAGTATGGAGAATTCTAAAGTGGTTCACTTTGTCTTCCTGTCCTCCCACTACTCCTCCACCCCCCCCCATCCTCCTCTCCTCCATCCCCATCCCCCTCTCCTCCACCACCCCCTTCCCCCTCTCCTCTCTTCCACTCCATCCCCATCCCCCTCTCCTCTCCTTCACCCCCCATCCCCCTCTCCTCTCCTCCACCCCCTCATCCCCCTCTCCTCCACTCATCCCCATCCCCCTCTCCTCTCCTCTCCTCCACCCCTTCCCCCCTCATCTCCCTCTCCTCTCCTCCACCCCCTCCCTCCCTCCCCTCATCCCCCACTCCTCTCCTCCATTCCGGTCCCTTCATCTAAATCATGTGGCAGACCACCTCAGGAGAGAAGATGCGGGACTTTGCCAAGACGCTGAAGAACAAGTTCCGGTCGAAGCAGTACTTCAGCAAGCACCCCCAGCGGGGCTACCTGCCTGTCCAGTCCGTGCTGGAGGCAGAGAGCTCTGAGACGTGAGTCATACCCCTATAGAGATAGATGGCTAGACAGACTGGCACAGAGAAGACAGGAAAATAGCTTGTAAAAATAGTCATTGACTTTATTTGTTGAGAGAGAGACTGCTTGTTTATGACAGTGTTATATTCTATTATGTTGAGGGGAGAAAAGACTTGGGACATGGAGGGTAGTTGGTTGTACATGAAGTGGACTTAAGAAGTTTGTAAAAAGTAGATGCACACGCACCCACACACACACTGAAAGTTCTCCAGTGTTGAATCAACACTGAATAAGGACTGAAAGTGTTCAATCTCCTCTGTGGAGATGGGAGAACCTTCCAGAAGGACAACCATCTCTGCAGCACTCCACCAATCAGGCCTTTATGGTAGAGTGGCCAGACGGAAGCCACTCATCAGTAAAAGGCACATGACAGCCCGCTTGGAGTTTGCCAAAAGGCATCTAAAGGACTTTCAGACCATGAGAAACAAGATTCTCTGGTCTGATGAAACCAAGATTGAACTCTTTGGCCTGAATGCCAAGCGTCACGTCTGGAGGAAACCTGGCACCATCCCTACAGTGAAGCATGGTGGTGGCAGCATCATGCTGTGGGGATGTTTTTCAGCGGCAGGGACTGAGAGACTAGTCAGGATCGAGGGAAAGATTAACGGAGCAAAGTACAGAGAGATCCTTGATGAAAACCTGCTCCAGAGTGCTCAGGACCTCAGACTGGGATGAAGGTTCACCTTCCAACAGGACAACGACCCTTAGCACACAGCCAAAACAACGCAGGAGTGGCTTCGGGACATGTCTCTGAATGTCCTTGAGTGGCCCAGCCAGAGCCCGGACTTGAACCCGATCGAACAACTCTGGAGACACCTGAAAATAGCTGTGCAGCGACGCTCCCCATCCAACCTGACAGAGCTTGAGAGGATCTACGGAGAAGAATGGGAGAAACTTCCCAAATACAGGTGTGCCAAGCTTGTAGCGTTATACCCCAAGAAGACTCGAGGCTGTAATCGCTGCCAAAGGTGCTTCAACAAAGTACTGAGTAAAGGGTCTGAATACTTATGTAAATTTGATATTTCCGCTTTTTATTTTTAATACATTTGCTTTGTCATTATGGGGTATTGTGTGTAGATTGATCAGGGGAAAAAACAGTTTAATCAATTTTAGAATAAGCTGTAACGTAACAAAATTTGAAAAACGTCAAGGGGTCTGAATACTTTCTGAATGCACTGTATATGGGTCCACACTTTTCAGTGTTAAATTAAGTTTGCTTAGAGTAAAGCCTTATTTGCATGTTTCCCAGTGTGCCTTGTCTTTCGAGTGAATTGTAAAGTTAACACCCATGACTGTATTTGTTAGTGACGGAGACATGGTTGCGTTAATTCATTTTCAGTCATGTGGCCTTCACCAAGTGAGATCCTAAGCAAATAAGTTATCATTCAATTAGATTAAATAATTACATTCTTTAAGACAATACAATATATATTTCATAAGGCCTTATTTTGAGGGCCGAGTAGTTTTACCTCAATACATTGGTCTGAAACTCCTGGTTTAAAGGCCACATCAGGCTTGCAAGTCAAACACACAGAGACACACAGAGACACACACCAACACACACACCAGGGAGTACCAGTAATAGAGGTATTGATGATGTTTTTCTGTGTTTGACCAGGCCGTGCTCCTCTCCCAAGCTACCCCATGCAGACACCCACAGCAGAATCGAGCACTTTGCTAGCAGGTAGGGTGTTATGCACACACACACACACACACACACACACACTCACTCACTCACTCACTCACTCACTCACTCACTCACTCACACACACACACACACACACATCCCCGCGATTTTTACTTTGCATAATTC